GCTTTTCACTTCTCAATCAATAGCACTAATATCTCTAAAAGTGAGTAATCCTTCATTTTCTGTAGTACTACATTCTTTCACACCAAATTCTAGACAAAGCAGAAATAGATTTGTGATCATCAGAGCCATAATCCTTTTTTAGTAATAGTGTTCTTACCATCATGGTAGTAATAGAAAAGACTGAGCAGTAGTTTGTCCAAAGAGAGACCTTTCTGGACTATACTTCTAATAAATTGTTTCTAACATTCTTTCCGAAGAATGTTCGGTAATTCAATTCAGTAATAATTTCAGTAATTCAAATATTACCCTTCTTTAACTGCACTTAAATCAAATAATATAAAATCTTAAAAGATTTTATATTATTAAATAAATAATAAAATAAATAATTATATTATTAAATAAAAAGACTGCATCTTTTAAGATGCAGTCTTTTTATTTATACTTCTAATGTTTTTGGTCTACTTTATTGACCTTCCTCAGGAAAAAAAATCGAACATTATGATTTATAACAATTTTTAAAAATTTTAACCTTTAAAAATTTAAGAAATTTTTTTTTAATTTTTAAAGAATCCTAGAGAATTGGGGAAAAGCTTTAATTGCACCAATTCATAAAAAAAGGAAGTAAAACAGAATGTAATAATTAAAGAGAAATCTTACTCCTCAGTGTACACCTAAAATATATACCAATAATTTAGAAAAAAGGGTCAGATGAATAGTTGAAAGTGACCTAGGAGAACGGACAGACTTTAGACCAAATAGAGGATGCCAAGATCAAATATTTACAATAAGGCAATTGACAGAGAAAGCATGAGAATATAACAAGAAACTATACTTGGGATTTATTGACCTGGAGAAGGCATTTGATAAGAGTACCTAGAGGATTACTTTTTGAAGTTCTTAAGAATATGGCATCAAGGATGCTTTACTCAGGGAATTCCAAAGCTTGTATAGGAACTGCAAATCAGCTGTAAAAATAGAACAAATAGGCAACTGATTCCAAGTAAAACTATGAGTGAGGCAAGGATGTACATTGTCTTTTTTATTCATAATTTTCATGGATAATTTAATAAAAGAATCAAAACTATTGACAAACTTCAGTTTGGGAAATATAAAAATTGGTTCTTTACTCTAAGAAGATGACATTGTTCTACTAATCAATAAACCTGAGGACCTCCAGCAATCTTTAAATAATTTAGAGGAAAAGTTGCAGGAATTTAGGTATGTCAATCAGCTACAAGAAAATGAAGATTATGGCTAGAAAGAGAGAAAGAGACCAACAGTGAAACTTGGTACCAAATGCTTAGAACATGTCAATAAGTTCTCATACTTGGGAACAAGCTTTAGCAAAGATGGAAAGTTAGATTTGGAAATCAGCAATAGATTAAGCAAGGCAGGTCAGACAGCTCAATTGAGCAAATATATGTGGAATAAGAAAGAAAAAGTCACAAGACAAAATTAGGTTCAATATGGACAATATATGGTTCCAAGAGTTGGGTGAGAAACAAGGCAATTGATCTAAAATTAGCAGCAGCACACAGGAGAGTTTTTAGAAAAATTAGTGGTGTAAATAGATGGATACAGTGACAAAATCGTATTAAAAAAGAAGACATAAGAAAAATCCTTAAGATAACAAATATTCGGTCAAGAGTAATTGAGGCTAATCTGAGGTGGTTTGGCCATTTGGAAAGAATGGAATAAGACAGACTGGCCAAATAAGTATTAAAAGCTAAAATCAAAGAGAAAAAACCAAAGGGATGACCTAGATGAAGATGGATTGATAGCAATAAGCAGGCTTTAGAGGATAGAGAATTTAACTTTCTTCCAGGTTAAAAACTTGTCTATTGATAGGAGAGAGTTTGGAAAAAAGTAGTGGATGGTAGTATAAAAGTTTGATTTTTTCACCATTTTCACCTAATACCCTCTGGGTATCAGCAGGTATAAATGATGATGATGGCACCACCAAATGTTGTTGGGAAAATTAAGCAACTCTGCTAGATTTTATCTTTGTGTTGTCAAATAAAAATACAAATGCAATTTCTAATTTTCTATGATGAAAAGCTGGAAAAGGTCAAAAAGTCTAGCAGCTTGCACCTGGACTCTTCTATCCAAAAATGACTGTAATAAAATACTCTCCAAACACTTCACAATTAGCATTTTATACATCGTGTGATATATTCCAATCATTAATGTGTTAGTTTTCTATCATTATACTAATCATCACAATTAATTTCTATAATTTTTTTAATAGTTATACATAAAAATGCAATTTAAATGTCAATCATNTAATAGGTAATCGAATCTTTATTTATTCAATTTTATATTTTATATCTTATTCCAATATTTTAAAAAATTTTGAAATTGGTTCTGTGCATTCCAATTTAGAATGTTGTTGATCTAAAGCAGATCTTGTGTAAGATTGAAAAGTTTATCAAATTTACATTAAATTATTTACTGGATTGTCAAGGTTTTGATTGGTGTACTTAATTATATATAAACAATGATCTTAACAATAATATAATGATTTCAGTTAGTAAAATCTAACTAATTAAATTTTTACTACATAAAGTAGATTCTGCTTATTGTAATAATAGATGTTGTGAAAGTTATTTACTATTATCAAAATTAGCAAGTTCAAAAAATATAACTTAAAATTCACTTCAAAAACATTACTTATTGTTATCATAATTTAGTTATCATTACTATCTTTAGGTAAATGGGCATTTTTGGAACCTAATACCATACAATCATACATTGAGAGAATGTATTATTGCAAGTTATCAACTATATATTGAGGCTGATAGCAAGTTATATAGGATTATGCTGTCAGTCTCTGACAGCATAATCCAGCAATTAAGATATTGTTTTAATAGTTATTTGCTCGTAGTACAGTAGCTTAAATTGCAGGAAATTCTAACTGTAATTATATCCTAGCTAATATTAGACTGTAGCAGGCAAACAATACTGGACAAATTACATATTGATAACTCATCAAGTTCTACATTTTTTTTAATTTCTTTAACTTGTTTCTTAATGTCAGAGTCAACAAAATCAAAATTTCCATTACCTTTAGTCATATTTATCTACCCTGTATACTATCAGTTTAAGCAAATCTCAAAGTAGATATCCTTCATACAACACAGTTTCGCTCTAACATGATTCAAAAACTGAAAAAAACCCCCCATAAATACAGTTTCCAGTTTCACTAACATGGTTTGAGAAATCCTCTGTACAAAATTTCACAATTTTTAAGTGTAAACTTCATAATTTGATATTTTTTAAAATTCAAATGAAGAATATTGAAATTTTCAATTTGTTTTGTGCCTTTCATCAGGTTTGCTTTAATAAAAAATGATAGTGCAATTTTTTCTTCCTTGTCCTAGCTTTCCTATCAACCAGGTGTCGTTTTCAGACTTTAGTTTTAAGACTGTCACTGTGTTTTGTTTTAATAGATTAATCTTTGTATTCAGTTAAACACTTTTAGGTGTTATTAAACTTTTTTTAAATCGTAGATAAGTAATCATTTGTAAAAATGACGAATGAAATACAGCATTATTCAAACAGTTCCCAACTTAAACAATTCAGTATTCAAACACAAATTCTGGAAAATAAATTGTTTGGTCCTCAATTGAACAAACACAAACCACTAAAACAAATTTTCAAGTAATAACATTTTTATGTTGTCCGCCATAAAAATTATGACAAAAATTAAAAAAATAAAGATGTTGCTGATATTTCTGATCATAATCAACAAAAAAGCTAAGACAACAATACTTTGTAAAAAGAAAATACCTTGTTTAACTAAAATGAATATTTAAAAAACCGTTGTATTGCTTGCATTCTATTTTACATTCTTTTTTGTTTTAAAGTGGTTTAACTGAAGAAGACTATTAAAAATAGTCGAAAACATTATTTTTATTAAATACTTTGTTGCTGGAAATACTAAGTTGTTTGGTTATTTTAAAATTAATATTAATGCATCAGTACTTTTGTGATTTTTAGTTAATTACAGATTGGAAATAAATTATTGATTGCTTTGATAAACATTTTTCTCTTAGTAATGAAAAAGAATAGTAAACTTTTGGAACCTAATACCATGTTTTGCATTAGTCCTCTTTTTTGTAAAGCATGGATTTTCATTACATGACACTTTTTGGAGTGTAACTACTGTATTATACGAGGAATATCTGTAATTATATTAAGCAGATTTTACTCTATTAATTTTCATAATTATTTAACTCTTCAAATGTGAGATCAGACAAAATTGGCTCAATCCATTCAAGATGAAATCAGCTGAAGGAAAAGTTGTTTGACTGGGTTTGCTATACAAATTTCCTTCTTAGTCTGAGGGGTGAAAACAATTTCATCTCCAGATATAGGAAGAAAAAAAGAAATTTTCAGAGTTGAAAGAGTTAAGACAACCTTTGAATTTTATGAATCAATATAAAATAGACTTATACTTAACAGGGAGAACCATAATCCTTTGCAAATTTAAATCTGGTTGAGACTCAGGTAATTCAAAAGAGCTCTTAAAGGCAATCACAATAGTAGAACTTTTTCAGGATACACATACAGTAAAAAGTTAGATGACCTAAGTTTTCCCAAATTTTTATTTTTTTTAATTAAAAGTTGCTATTTAAAGCTGCAACAACTGATTATATGAAATGGATGCTATCCCACTAAGCTATCCTGTTGAGTCTAACTTGAGGTCAGAAACCTCTTACTTCACATTATTAACTTTTTGAAAAATTCAAACATGTAAACATGAAATATATCTATATTTTTTGACAACAGCAGGATTATTATGAAAAGTCAGCAACATATGAAGTAAGCAGTTTCTGTCCATTTCACATAATCAGATGTTGCAGCTTTAAATAAAAATTTGGGAAAAAACTTTATAGATATCTAACTCTCTACTGTATGTATATCTGGAAAAATTCTTCCACAATTATGATTGCCTTGAAGAGCTCTTTCACATGACCTGGGTCTTGACCAGATTTAAAACTGCAAAAGGTTGCAGTTCATTGTTTAGCTGTTTAATTTATAATTTTATTCTTTGTTCTATATTTGTCAATCTTTGTTAATCATTTTATACTTACCACCCATAAAGGTCTAGAATTATGATCAACCCGTAATTGCATGACAGAACGATAATCTTTGGCACCAAACTCATCTTCTTTTGTAGTATCTTCTGAAAGATGTTGGCTAGCTGCAGCTGGTACTCCATCTAAAAAAAATATTTAAATATAAATAATTTCCTTTCATAATAAATAAAAATTATCAGTTTAAAAACAGTGATAAATGTTAAGTTATTATTTATTACAAGGATATATTTGACAATGCTATATGGCAATGATATCTTCCCCAAGATATAAATAAACAACAAAAAAAATTAAGAATTACAATCAGACAAACTCCTGTATATGAGGAGGAGGAAAATACAAAAACAAAAAATCATTTATTAATTATAGAGTATTCTTTTGCATGCACTTTAAATTTATTTATACGTAAATATAGATATTCAATAAAAGCCAGCAGTCCTATAGAAGAATGTTGAGAAAGACTCATAAAGAGAATGACTGATAAATAATGTTTCAGGTATGCAGAATTTTCTCTCTCTTTAAATATTTGTTCTATTTACATTAGTATTTCTAAATATTTGATTTTTCAATCATCAAATTTGATGAAAGTCATTAAATATGACTAAAAATGTTAATTTTTCCAGTTTAATAAACTGTTTTGTTACTATATAAAGTTGTATGCAGTTGACTGCATGAGCATCTAAATTGAGGTCCTTGTCAATTTTATGAAACTGACAAGACCTCAATTTAGATGCTCATGCAGTCAAATGGCAATTTCGTTTTTGGATAATGTAAAAGCAAGGTCTGAGAAGAAATCATCACTAATTAGAGAGGCTTTTCTATTAAAGTCTTGAAAACTATATAATTTATTTTCTGAGGGTCTATATGATTCTTCAATTTCCCTGTTGATGACATCATCATCATCAATTTGTCTGGCTTGGTTCTCTGCCATTAAAACATTAAAAGTTTTATCACCTTTAACTTTTTAATCTTTTCATTATTCATTAATTCATATTCCTTCTTTTTTACACTCATTACACACCTTCAAAAAATAGTCTTCTAAATTGTTTGTGAATTTACTTTAGTCTCTCCTTAATTAAAAAATTCAAACTCATTTTACAGTCAATCTTATCACAGATGCCAGGTGTCTCATTCTGACCTCAAAAATAAACTCTTTCTTCTGATTTTTTTCTTAACAACATTTGATATTGCAACATATTTAATTTAATATTTGAACTCAGCAATAATTAATATTTTAACAAAGATATAGATAAATCAGAAAAAAAATCTTGAATCAAATGCATTCTTCCTCAATTTTTTTTTTTTTTTTGTTATGTTGCCAGATCTCAATATACAGTAGTCACCATTGAACTTAGACCAGGCTGCAGTTAACATGCCATCCAATAGATAGGTTTAAAAAAAAAAAGTAGCTTTGATTCATTGCATGAATGTTTTTACATAATTTAAAACAAGTATAGAGTAATTAATCTTTATTTTTGCCAAATATCAACTTGATATCTTGCAAATTTAACAACATTTAGCCAGTCAAACTTGAGTCACAGGCATCAAAAAACAGACCACTGCATCACCCCTGTCAATGAACAGACCAGCTAATAATTTGCATTTAAATAATGTACCAATTGCAGTATTTCTGAAACAACTGATTATTTTAGCCTCACTTTAGATTATGTTGGCCTCATTTTAGCCTGTAGCGATCCTGTGAATAATATAAGGTGCATTTTTAGTGTTATTTACAAATCTTTGCATTTTGTCTACAATGGCCAGAGGAAAAGCCATTTCAAAAAATTGAAGGAATGCTATCGTTGCTAAACACAGTCATATCATGTCTAAGAGAGCTATTAGTAAAGAGCTAATGCTAAGCAAGACAACAGTGCACTAGATTATTGTTCATTACACTAACCACAGCCATGTTATACCTAATAAAGCTGCTGGACATCAACAAAAAATTTCAAAAGTTGATAAGAGTTTGAAAAGAATCATAAAAAAACAACCACAATGTCACAGCATTGGATGTAACTACAATATGAAATGATACAACTGGAAAGAATGTATCTATTTCGACAACACACAGGAGACTGCAAGAAATGCATTTCCAGTTCTATGCAGCATGTGAAAAACATTTGCTAACAGCACATCAAAAGAAGAAACAGATACCATACAGTGGACCAAAGAACATCTTTCCTAGTCTCAACAAAAGTGGCATGAAATTCTGTGGTCTTATGAATCAAAATTTGAATTATCAACAACAAACAAAAGCCAACGTGTCATTTAATCTGCCAATGAAGCTAATGATCCATCATTGTTAAACTGTCCAGTGAAGTTTTCTGCCAGCATCATGGTTTGGGGGTGTATGAACACCAGTGGTATGAGTAGGTTGACATTTGTTGATGGAACACTTGCTTCAGAGCAATACATTATTAACATTCTACAAGTGTTTACTTCCATCCATAGAAAAGCTATATCCAAATAGAACTTGCATTTTCCAGCAGGATGAAGTCACATGTCATACAAGCAGAAAAACAAAACAGTGACTCTCAGAAAAGAACATAGAAGTTCTTCCTTGGCCATCTGACAACCCAGATCTTTAACCATTTTATAACAAATAATAATATAGAAAGTTTTTCTAAATAAAATTGCATAACAGATTGCACCATACACAATTTTAACTTTTGCTAATGCATCTTAATGTTTTTCAACTAGAAAGTTATCCAACTTGCTGGATTTTTTAGTAGAATAGTGTTCTATTCCACTTTTATTTGTTTGAAAATTGAAATAAAATTACCTCAATTTCAAAATTAGTTGTTCACAGTAGTGCCTCATACTTCAAATTTAATTCATTCCAGGAGGTCATTTGAACTCTGAATCATTCAAAGTCTGAATCAATTTTTCCCCATTAGAAATAATAAAAAGTGAATTAATCCATCACTAAACAATATACATTTCAATAAACTTAAAACAGCAAATATACAATAATTAAGGTAAAAATAACAATTAAATGCCCTAGTAATAAATTAAAACTTTTAAATAATAAATAAAATATGTAAATACTGTATAATAAAAATGAAGATTGCATTTACTGGTCATACACCATAAACTTTGGCATCTTAAACATGGCTACCCAATCCATCCATGTGTACCACTTGTTTCTTTTTTACCTCAATCACCAATACAACCTTCCTTTTAGATTTTGCTGTTTCCATACTCTTCTTAGATGCCATGATTAAATAAGGTTATATTGAGTTGAACAAAGTTTTTGTGTATTTTCAACAGCTGTTATTACTTAACATAAGCTGTCAACAAAAATTACAGAAAGAAATTGTTAAAAACTAGCAAACAATACATACTATATGTAACCAAACACCAAAAATAAGTGCTGAAAACATACGAATGTAATGCAAGAGATGGCTTGGATGCAAACAGATGGTGTTTATGTAGCAAGTGCATTTTTTCACTATGCACACAGTTTGAACTTTGAAGCAAATTTTTGTGAAATTTAGAATTCTAAATATGAGGTACAGTGTATCATTGCAATATATATGACTGTTTATAAATTAAATAATTTTCAAAATTTTAATTTTAACTGTTTTATTTAATTTCAAATAGATTCAGTAAAGTCCTTGTGGACTAGAGATTACTGCCTCTAAAATAATAAAAAGATCCCACTTATATAATGAAGTATTTACCACATAAGAATTTTTTGCTGCACACATTTTCAATACTGCAGTATGGAGTTTAGAAACATGTTTTCTTTCCAAATAAAATGTTGTTTTAGTTTCTTTTCTTGGCTTAACACAATTTTGCACTTTTGATTCCTTCTTATTTTTTTCATTTAACATATAGCTAAGTACAAATACATAATTTCTTACTCACAAATTTCATTCCAATAAGTAACGAACATTTAGTGCTTCTATATAGTTTGTAATTGGAATATTTTAAAATATTTGATGTATCAGATAGTTAAACTGAAGTTTTCTCTCTTGATATAATTGCTGTTCTTTCATCATCTCCAGTGAATATCAGAATACCAGATGCAGTTCTCAGCTAGTGTTTTAAGCTTCTTGACTACTGAAATCTAATTTCTTCATTCTCTTTCTCAAAAAAGATGTCATGAAATATCAAAGATTTATCTACATGCTAATGATTATAATTCAATATACTCCAAACTATCTCAGTATCCTATTTTCAAAAATCCTATGATATTGTAAATGCAGATGACCTCTATTTTTTGTACCATTTTCATACCTCTGCAACTAAAACCTTATTGCATACTTTGACCTACATGCTTTTTGGATTATCTAAGCAGATAAAGTATGATCAAGTTCCTTATAATTTATGTATTACTGTCTTTTACTGACACCTGATGTGTTGCTTTCACAGATGTTTCATAGTTAAGAGATTTTTTTTTTCAATTTTTGGAATGTTTTTTAAGTCTCCAAATTTTTGCAAAACTTTTTGCCCATGCGAAAAAATTTTATCGCAATTTTAATGAGCCTTTGATAAGGCTCGATTAAGGCTTAATTGTTTTTTAATGGGAGTTTTTTTATCAAATTTATTTCATGGTTCCTAAGTTGTAGTGCATGGATTTTCCTTCGGTAAAGTTATTTAAAGCTAGTTTCTGATGTCAAAAACGACCTCCGATAGTTTTTTAATTTTTTTAATTAATCGATTTTATTATATATAAATTTAATTAATTGGGGGATCGGAAATCGCAATTAAAATCTTAATTTTTTAAAAATATTTAAAAATATAGGCGTCGCTAGTATTCATCCTACTTTAAACCCTTGTCCTCCCGAGACGTCTATGAGAATGCCCCAGGAAATCCAACTCCAGCTGTTCTCAAAGTCATCCAGCTGTGTAAACAATGACTCATTGGTGTTAAATTTCACAGAAAGGAAAATAAAATTTGGAGCTTTCTCTTCAAAATTAAGGCATTTCTTTTGTTTTTTTTTTAGTTTTAAGTATTTTTTTATGCTTAATTACATCATAATTAATAACAGATGGTCGTTAAGGGGTTAATAATTACTTATAAGCTTCGAGGACACGGGGAGGATGGAAAAAAACAGTCCAATCGACACGGATCGGGATTGTAGGAGTAAAGGCTACAATCCCGATTGTTTCGATCATT